GAAAACTATCCAACGGTGTTCATGATTTGTTTCCTTAAGCATTTTCACAGTGCTTGTTCCAAAAAACAGTATATATTTTCTAATAAATCCAAACTTCTATGCTGTTCTTTTTTTTTTTGCAAATCGAGAAAATTTAATTTTAAGTTTATAATTATCAAACTGCTTGTATTCTTTATGGTCATCTAACATGACCATGAGAAATAAACAGATATGGTGCTGACTCTAGGACAGGGTCAAATTTAGGACACCCGAAGTTATGTACTGATGTATCACAAAATGAAATATCAACAATTTTTCTACTTTTTGAAGTAATATCACTTCAAATACATGTATATAAGCAATGTTATCATTACTGTATCACATGATCTCAGTAATATTGAGTGACATACCCTTTTTCTCTCCTTCTTTCATCTTCCTTAGAACTATGTATGATCATTACAATTTCGTTCAACTTCTCTCCCTTCTTCATCTTCCGCTCATCCCTCTTCAACTTGGCAAGTTCGATCTGTCTCTGTTTTTCTTGAGAGGCCTTGTCTGTCTGGTAGGATAATGTTTTTAGTAACTGTGCTTTCTCATCATCAAAATTCCTCTGTAGATCTTCAAGAATATTCTGGAAAGCACAAATGTTTAATACAGTAATTTCGATTATATCGGACATGATTCCTGTTGTAGATTGCCATACTGAATATTTATTTATCAATTTATTAACAAAGAGTTCAAATATACAATTTCCATTGACATCAGCAAATATATGTACAGGCATTATGAATAAAGATAAATGAGTCCTTAATAATGTGCTAAATGAATGTGTTTAAACGAAATGAATTATTGCTCACAGTATGTACCAAAATAACAACAAAAATGCTTGAAGTAAATAAATTTCATCATTAAAACAACTTTGTACATATAATCAAACCTATGCACAACTATCAGTCAGAGAAAAATGTAAATATAGTCTTTATTGACAAGACAAGTTATTTTGCAGTATAATTATATCAAATGAAGATTATAAAAGGTGCCCTTCGAAGTGTTTTACATGTATGTGCAGTCTATAGTTCAAGTTTTACTGTACATAACAAAAACAGAGAAAACTTTGGTTATTTTACCCTTCTCTTTTGCCTCATAATCTCAGCCTCCTCTTCTTCAACAATGGCATCTATTGTTGTGTCGTCTGCTGTGAGCCCCTGTGCCTCCCGCTCCTCTTTCAGTTGTTTACGTCTCTTTAACCTAGCCTCCAACCTCTCTCGTTGCTGCTGCTCCGTCTCCACAATAAAATCATCCAACACTGTGTTAATTATAAAATTAAATCATACCCTTAAAAACAACAACTAGAATGAATGAATGAATGAGCCCCACATTATTTCAATTATTATCTAAAGAAATATGATAATGACCACTATTCTGGTAAAATGCAGATATTAATCCTACAGCCAATTTGCATTAGTTATACTTTCAGTAAATATTATACATTGACAACTATGATACATGAATACACCCACATGTAAAAATGGTATGTTTGGTTCAAAAGACAGACAAAAATCAATTAATTATTTCCACTTACATTTTTCATTTTCAAGATAGCTTCCAATGATATTGGCAATTTCATCCATCTTGCCCTCTCTGCGTAGTTGTCTTTCCTTGACTTTTAAATCTATCAGTTTTTTCTGTCTTTGCTTCTCAGACATTCTGTTCCATTCAGCTTCCCCATGCTCTTTCATCAAAACCTTAAAAGGTAGGAAATGGTGTAAGTTACAAATAATTGCACAAGAACTAGAATATTATGAAATCATTGCAAGAATTCCTTTACAGGTTGTCATATTTTTTTAACTGTAATGCATCATTGTCTGAGATATATTTGGCAAAAGAAGGTATAATTCTTCACATTTTTAGCTCTACAAGGCTAATCTATTTTGCATCAATTTAGTATCCTACAAATTTCTAGTGACACCATATACCGAAGTTATCATTCATAGTCTAGACAATGAAAGTTATATTATAAAATCTCATAACTTTTTGCATCATTTTTTATATTAATTAAGCAATATTTATTTGTTTACCTCCATTAACAATTTGTCTTTCATAGCATCATATTTGTCCTCTAGAGCCTTAACTACACTAGCTTCAGTTGTCTCCCCTGATTCCTCATCTTCCTCACCATCATTCTCTGACCTTGACCTGTCTCCTAGCAACACAGCAGCAATATTGTCACATGACTCATCTTTGTTAATCACTGTAATAGCTCGGTGAAGCTGCTGCAATCCTTTTAAATCCTGTTAAAGTATGTGGATACAATGTATGTGGATATGAGATCAATACTGAATTGTTTTATTACCAACAGTAAGCTTTCTTTATTTAATTTTTCAACAGTTTGCTCTACCAACAATTTTTCCATAAAGGAGACACATGTATACTTCTTTCATATATAAAATAACTGCTGCTTTCAGGCCTAAAAGATATGCAATACCACTTAACCATTAACCTTCGAGAACCAAAAGTGATTACCCTTTGCCACCAGTATAGAGCCAGGCCAGCTTGCACGTCAGTGACCAGACTCTATACTATTGGCAGCTCAATTATTGGTTTTTGATATTGAAATCCCCTGAACTTTGAATGGACTATTTCAAATTCCAAGCTGGACAGATCCATTATAGAAATATAGCAAGTTAAACATTAAGTTCTACATTGAAATGTAAATATCAGTTCACTACACAGATTTACTTTTGTATAAATGGAAAAATAAACAAAAAATAGGATTTAAGACATGTTTCCTGACATAAACAGAATTAATAAATATTTATCAAGAACTGGCCTTTTTTTCACTACATTAAAATACAACCATATCTTATATGTCAATTCCTTATCTTAAACGGCAAAAACTTATAAAAATGAAACGAAATGAAATTACCTTGCCTGAAATGATACAACCATAGTTTTGAACCATCATTTTAAAATGAATGTTATTAGCATTACTAAACTGTCATTACCTAACTTTTGACTTTCATTACCTTATCTTGAATGTCTTTTAACAATTTCGCAGCTTCAACTTTTTGCAGCTCCTGTAGGTCAGCCAGCAGTTTAACCTGAAGGTCGTCATCGGTTACCACTTGACCGTCTGCCTCAGACTCACAACGTATCATCTCTAACATTACACTTATTGCATCCTGAAATAATTAATTGCACAATAATATATTCTCACAATAACTGTTAATCTAAACAAGCAAACTTCTTGCTTTTATAAATGTGTCATTGTGCACACTCATTCATTCTGAGTAACTTACAAATACTATTTCCTAAAATACACATGACCGTTGCTATGCCTTTATAACAGAAATAGGACCTGACTCTACGATCCTTATACAAAGAATAACTATTTTTTAATTGATAAATTTTTCTATCTAAAAAAAAATTTCTTCTTCAACAATAATCTAGTAACATAAATAAAATGAAAGCTTTTCCTCCTTTGCAAAAACAAAAGGGTCAGTTTAAGATGTAACTTTCTGCATTATTTTTCAGAAAGCTTCGAGTATTATCAAAATATCTATTCATGACAACATCATAACTATTATACAATAAAACTTATATACATGTATGCTTATAAATTTTCAATTAAAGTATGATAATAAAATAATGATAAAAGTAACAAAAACAACACCCAGTCTGCAGAAAGGTTTGAACTGGAATGCTCAATATATGATTATATGCTCTTACTCATGCAACTGTCAGCCACTGTGCTTAAACATAAGAGCCGTGTCACGCCAAAACCAACATAGTGGGTTTGCGAAGAGCATGGATCCAGACCAGCCTGCGCATCCGCGCAGTCTGATCAGGATTCATGCTGTTCACTATCAGTTTATCTACTTGTTATAGGGTTTGTAAGCGACCAGCATGGATCCTGATCAGAATGCGCAGATGCGCAGGCTGGTCTGGATCCATGCTGGTTGCAAACCCATTATGTTGGTTTTGTCATGACGCGGCTCATATATGCTTCTGGGATACAAAGTTACCAACAAGGATAAACCAAATTGAATTTTTACCTTCAAAAGCTCCATTTGTTCCTTCAGATTTTTCTCATCGGAATTTTTCCAGTTTTTATAGAGTTCGTTTATTTCAAACATCCTGTCACCCCTTTCATCATCACTCATGTCCATGGCGTCCTTTCTCTGTTTACTACCAACACTCTCATCCATTAACTGAAAGGGAACCAGCATCAAGTCAATGCAGAGAACCAGCTTTTACTATGTTATTTATGGACATGTATGTATAATGTCAATTCACCTGAGTTCTGAAATACCCTTAGTTTTCTGTAAGCAATAGAATCTTGTAAACTTTTCACTGATTTGCGTTCCTAGTTATCTGATATAGTAAAACATATACATGTACATTAAAATTTACCAGATTTACATCTCAAAGATTAATGAAATAATAAACTGTTGAAAAACAGCAACCTCAAAATTAGTACAAGTATCAATTTCTTAGAAAATTCTAAATTTCCAAATTCATGTAACAACATGAATTTGGCAAAGGAAAAAAACAATTTTTATATAAAGTCGTTACAAATATCTTTATCAGATATTTGAATCCTACAAACCAAGTTCTACAAGTAATTTAACACCTGAATAAAATCAATCCACAGAAAAATTAAGAATATGATTAATCTACCTTCACAAAAATCTCTCGTTCTTTTTGATGTCTCCTGTCCATATCATTAGCTATAGCCTCCTGTAGTGATACCGGATCCTCTGTATCTACCGGGCCCATGTCAACCTCCTCCTCCATACTGCCTTTACCTTTCTTACTGTTCCTAGCTGCTTCTAACCGCTCACGAGCAAGCTTCTCTTGTCTCAGCCTTTCTTCTTCCTTTGCCAGACGAGCACTGAAAATAATTTTTTTTTACATAATTGAGCTGCGTCACGACAAAACCAATATAATGGGTTTGCGACCAGCATGGATCCATGCTGTTCGCTATCAGTTTCTCTATTTGTAATAGAGTTGGTAAGCGAACAGCATGGATCCTGATCAGAATGCGCAGAAGCGCAGGCTGGTCTGGATCCATGCTGGTCGCAAACGCACTATGTTGGTTTTGTCATGGCCCTGCTCATATATCTTTTGTGAGGTCTTAAATCCTTGTAACACAGTAAAAGCCATAAAAGAAACTATCTTGCTGTAGTTATAGAAGAATTTAAATGATTCCTAGGCACTAATTAAAGCATGGGCAAATAATAAAGAAGAACCACTGACATTCCTACACTAAATGAGAGTTTACTCAAAAGACCTATTCACTCTCTACAATTCAAACTAACATCAGCAAAGGCCATGAAATTCCAAATTTTCTGTTTTCAAAGCTTGGCATCTCTATATAATTTAGGTAAAACATCATAGTAGTTCAAAATACATCACACATCAAATAGTTCAAAACACATCTTGCATTATAGGAAACACTTTTTACAATATTTAAACATAAAAAGACACATTTGAACTAACTCTGTATATTTAGAATATACGAGTATAAGAAACAACATTGTAAACAAAGAGTTACTAATATATTTGAGAGAACTTACTCTTTATCCCTCTGCTCGGCAAGACCAAGTATAAGAGCAGCTCCGTCAAAGTTTCCCTCTCTCTGTGCCAGTTTCTGGTCTCGCTTCAGACGTGCCAGGTGAGCCTGTCTCTCACGTTCTTTATCAAACTCACTACCAGCCTCACCTAATCTGCGCAGAAGCTCTTCCTTTTCCTGTATTTTATAGTTTTATATGTGCATGTCTTATCAACCAAAAATAGTGTTTCGGTATCAATGTATAAAATGATGCTAGGATTACGTTTACTGAATTCATCAAAGTTCAATATATGAACTTTAGACTTAAGAAATTTAGACTTAAAAAATTTAGACTTTAGACTTTTAATATGCAAGAAAGTATTTTCACTCTCTTGTTAACAAACAAAAATTGTTATTAATAGACAACTAAAGAAAACTTAAAATAATCAACAAATGTTCAACTATGACACAAGATATCACCATAAGAATATTTCGCTTATTTAAGTACAGGTCTAAATTTCAGATGTTGATGATGAATAAAGGCTAAAGAAAATGGCATGCCTTGGCTTCATTAAAGAAAGAGACAAAATTTACACTTTAAGTTATTTAAAAATATCAACTAAAAATATCTAATACAAGCAGTCTTTAGGAATAGGAAAGGTATTTTTTGTTAACAGGTTGTCCTTCAGAAAAGATTAGTTTGTAAAAGATGTATAATTAAACAAACTGGAAATGACATGGTTAGCAGCTGCCTTTTACGTTATATTTTTTGGAGAAAGTCTTCAAAACAGGCATGACTGCATAACAAATGCCTTCCAAAGTTTAAAATTCAATGCATAGCTGAATTTTTGTAAATTGTCCCAAAATGAAATGCAAGTATTTACATAGGAATATATCCTAAGGTACAATAAGTTGTTTACTTTTTCAAATCTGTATTCCAAATCTTCTAGAATGTTTCTTCTTTTGTTTTTCTCTTCTTCTTCCTCTGCTTCTATCTCCTGTTTCTCTAATTCATCTACTTCTTCTTCTGTCATTCCTACAAATTTACGACAGTCAAAAGCTTTATGCCAACAGATTGATTTAACCAACCAGAAGCTATGTCAACAGATTGATATAGACACTATTAGACAGTCAAAAGCAATAAGTCAAAACTATTTATTATCTATACTACTTATGCTTTAATTACCGGTATTCCAAAAATTTTCAATGATAGACAATCTACAACAAAAAAAGAAAATTTACAAGAATTTAAGCAATAAGAATCATGAAAGAAGCAACTTTATTTTTTTCTATATATACCTTGGGCAAGTCTTTCTCTCCTACGTTTCAGTCTATCCTGAAGTTTCTGCCTCTGATCTTGTACAGAGTCACCCATCAACTTGCGTAGATTTTCCTGGTCTTTTAACAGCTCACCTGATAGATAAAACACTTACTATGTCAAGATACATGTACAAACAAATAATTGCCTTATTCTCTCTTATTTATACAAGTTCCAAAACCTTAATCCATATATAACACTAGTTAATAAATATATATTACGTTTTTATGTTATATTCACACAATAAATATCATATGCACAATTTACAATATTTTATTGCAAAGGAGACATGTCTCAGATGCCTTGCCATGCCTTAATGAATTTTTAGGGCTCCAGCCATTGTAAGCTTCCAAGGCAACTTCTTTTCTTTTAATGATAGAAAAAGAGAGACATCTGGTTTGGAGTCAGTGCCCTTAAAGCCTAATTAAGTAACTGAGTTACATTTACCACAACAGGTTTAACTAGGAAGAAATATGAAAATTAACACATTCCAGATATGATTTGGAAAGCATAGCGAAACCTTAAGTGATTTATATTAAAGGTAAAGAAATATGATGCAGTACATCATTAACTACCTAACTACAAGTATTTCTAAAATATGAGATGTACATGTATTTTTTTACCTTAACCTAATGAATTTGAGTAATAAACATACCCTGTTTAAAGTATAGAAATATCAATTTGAGTAAAAGATTTTACTATCAAATACTAAGGTCAAAAGCTCAACAACATAGATTACAACAGTATTTGAGAAGCATCTGCATAGACAGGCAGGTTAGGCTCGCCATAAACCTTTGCTGAAATCATTGTTGTGGCTAGCTATGTAACATAGATTTAAACAAAATAAAACAATTAAACAAACCAATTAGGGCATTTGCTTCATCTATCTTGCCAGCTTTGCGTAGTTGTCTCTCTTTCTTTTTTAACTTAAATATCCTTTTCTGCCTCTCTGTGTCTGAGAGACGATTCCACTCTGATTCTCCAAGCTTGCAATATAAATGTAATAAATTCAATATCATCACTTACAATATGCCTGATATTTGAGTTTATATGCAGTAGGAATATGGTGATAAATACTGCACAGTCTTTTCAATAGCACAAAACATGTAAATTTTTACTCAAATCTTGAATCTTATAATCTTAGTAAATTTTTCTCAAAATTGATTTTCTTGAAATATTTTGGCTCATCTGGCATGAAGCTTTAATTTAAATATTAATCATATACAAAAAAATCTCTTTAACTAAATGACTAAAGTTATGATTTTTCAATTTACAGACCTCTTTCAGCAAGGCTTCAGCCAGCAGTTTATCTTTCAGAGCATCATATTTGCTCTTAAGAGCATCAATGACCTCATCATCAGTGGTGCCATCTGTTGGATCAGGGGAGAGCACTACAAGTGCAATATTGTCAGCCATATTGGATTTGGTTTCTTCTTGAATTCTTTTTTCTGCTGACCTAATTCCATCATCATTCTATCAAAAATGATATTAAAAGGTTTGACATATCTCTTTCCAAACATTTACAATATATTTGTTCTTTTATCTGAAGTTTATTTACTTTGACATGTACCTTTTATATAAAAGTCTGATTCAATCTATGTTACATAACCTACAAAGTAATTTTCAATTTAACAAAACTAAAACGAAAAGGATTGAAAACATACAATTAATATGACTATATTTATGACCAAGAATTATTTGTAATATATCATGAAAAATACTAGTCATACCATAAAAATATGAAACTAGGCAAAGCCTATGAACGAGAAAGTCAAATACTTTTTTTTTTCATTTTTTGTTTTACATTTTTTGTTTTAAAGGTGTCATCGAATATATTTCATGCACTGCTTCAACTTTCAATCAGAACAACTCGAGTATTCTTAAGCCAAAAATTGTGATTGTTCTGTTATGGGAATACCTAGACGATTATCAATGAGCCCGGGACCGTGCCCTTTGACACCCCTGCATAAAAAGAAAACTGGTAATCATTTACAACAGCAGGCTTGCAATTATGAATAAGAGAACAGTACAGAAAACAATGCAGTACCGTTGTTGCAAGTCCTTTTATAAGCCTCTCAGCTTCTGAGTTCTGGTACTCCAATAAGAGGGCCATCAAAGTACAGCAGACATGTTCATCTGTAACATCATCATTCTCTTCAGACAGTTTCATTCTACAACCTTCCTTCTTGTATACTGTTGCCTCTGATAGAACTTCTAGATTTTCACTTCTCCTGTCTGAATAAGAAACAAATTCATTTTAGCAGGACATTTAGCAGGAGATAAGTGTAAGGCACTAAAAAGTCTATCTCAAACAAAAGATAACCCATAACTTCAATGGAATTAACCAGCTTCATGGAAACATATATACATGTATAGAGATATTGAATGAGTGAAGATTTGATCACACCTTTGTAATATCGTTTTTGTTACATGGCTTAATTATACTCCTTGGCCATGTTTTATGTGATAAAAATAAAAAAAAATTAATGCAAAATATTGTTAAAGAAAACCAACAACTCACTTTGCACTGTTTTATTTCTGAGATTCCTGAGTTCCGTCATTTTCTTAAGTTGTTCCTGTTGTGTTGCCATAGAAGCAAGCTCCTTGGCTTCACCAAATTTATCAGTGTTCCACAGCAGACGACAAAATAGTTCCCTCTCCTTGATGTGCTTGGTTTCCAGTAAAGTCAATATATGATCCTGAAATAAAAAACATGGTATGACGTATCTGTGCAGTAGAACATATATAGTGCTATAATAGCTTTAAACAGCCTGACTTTAATTTTCTTATCAACTAAATAATGCCAGCATATCTCCACTTTTGTGTGTTATGACTAATTGATTTACTAATCTATATTCACCACATGTTGAATAGCAGATCTAGTATGGGGTGCCTCTGTCGTCAGACTGGATTGTCTCCCTTTCTCCACATCTACAATAGTCTTCTTGGCAAGTTTTATGTATCTTTCTGCATCTTTCTTAAGTCTAGAAGTTTGAAATAATGATCATATACAATGTTGTAACAGTGACCAATCAATAATCATGAACTTGAAAATCACAGACCGAATGATTTTTCTTATGGATAAAAGGAATAATTAAGGAAATGGGGTTTGCATGACTTAAAATCAAGCCTTTATATATGTTTCATAATATTCTATAATGGATGCCTTCATGTGCATTAAACTGCTTATAATTCAGTAATTTGTAAGGCTATATTTTATTCAAACTCTATTTCTTTCAAGACATGTCCAGTAGTATTAGTATCTTATGCATGTATGTCTTTATTTTTACATAGAAAACTGTTGTTCTTAGCTAGAGAGAATGTAAGCGCATCATTAGATACAAGTTCAAAGTAAAATTTACCTAAACTTAATTTCCTCTTGCTGTCTTTCCATTAGACCAACCATTGTTGCCGTGGTAACGAAAGCCTCTTCCTGACTGGCTAACAGAGCTTCTCTATGGTAACGTGCTAACTGTATCATACGTTCACTTTCACTAAAATGATCTTCAGATTGTCCTGTAACCATGGAAACAATACATTCAATAATTGAGCCGCGTCATGACAAAACCAACATAGTGTGTTTGCGACCAGCATGGATCCAGACCAGCCTGCGCATCAGCGCAGTCTGATCATGATCCATGCTGTTCGCTATCAGTTTCTCTACTTGTAATAGAGTTGGTAAACGAACAGCATGGATCCTGATCAGACTGGTACAGCATTCATGTCCTCTGGTATAATTTTACTAAAATACTATGGTTTAAAATCCTACAAAACAAATGCTTTTTTATTTAACTTTCAAAATAATTCAATTCAAATATTGTTTTGACACCATAGTATACTATCATATCCCACCTTTGAGCATTCTATTCAATGCTATCCTCTCCTCCTCTAGTCTTGAATATAACTCCTTCAGTGGATTTTCTGGTTCTCCCTTTTTGCTTATTGCACCAGTATCTTCATCCATACTCAGATTACTGTGGTTTCCTAACAGACAAAAAAAACACCCAGAAGTTGTTTTGTAAATAAAAATAATATACACAATATTATAAATAATGACCTAGTGATGATATTTAACAAAGCATTAGAAAAAACAGAGCAAATTTGAAATATAACCAGAAGACAACTTATGATTCAACATTATTAGCATAAAATGGGATGTATTTTAGCAGAAAATAACAAATCATATAACATAAGATGATACAAAATCATGAAGTTGATGAGCCATAAGGGGTTTTTAATCATTGATCATATTTTGGTTGAGTTCTTTTCCACACTGACAATATTGATCTTTCAGCTTGTGCTGGTTGAACAAGACCCTAGGGTGCCTCAAGTCTAGAAAGTGCTCTTCCACCTTGAAACCTGCAGTTTACTGTAAGTAATAGTGCGTGTGTGTAGGGGGGGAGTGGCTCAGATCATTATGAGCAAAAGGCAAATCATCAAACACATATTCAAAATATCTGTTATCCATCTTTAAATATTACCAAATATGTAGAAGAAACTACTTACCAATAACTTGTTGACCTTTGACCTTATTTCTAAACACATGTGGACATATACCCATAATCTGTAGCACAGTATCTTTAAGATGGAAACCTTCACCCAACAGTGATGGCATAATCTGACCTGGAATAAAACAGAATGACAGTATTCTGAAGTTATCTAGGTTGAGAAGTAACATGTTTGATACATTCAAAGATATATTGTATATACATTTAAAGGCTTCAATGCTATCAACTATTTTACGATTGCATACTGTTACACTCATGATAAAAAAGTTAACATCTTTAAAATTTATGTTGTTGACAAGAGAAACAAAATCGCTTAAACATGTATTTAAAGTGACAATATGCCAATCCATGGATAGATATAGAGTGAGCAGGTGAAAGTCAAAATAAGTTAACATTTTCTCATAATTCCTTTCAACTTCATAATTTACTTCACATGAACCATAATTAACTCAATAAGCCCTGCAAAATGTGTGTAATTATCCGTTGAAATGTATCTGTAACTTTCAATTTACCGGTATAAAAAAGTGGGGCAGACTTTTTATATATTTAGGTAGATTTAATTTTTACCCAAAACATTTTCAAATATCATGTGTTGGTCAATCACCGTTATAACAACCAGTTTATTGAAATATATAGTCAATTAAAGTCAATTTGACTATGAAAAAAATGAGCATAATGTCACTTTATTTCAAAGCAAGTAAAATGAGAATTTTTTATTTCACTGCTTTTATAAAAACTAATACTGATACAAGTTTTTGAAGTATAAGATAGAAGTCAGATTAATAAACAAGGGCAATAACTGTCTTGATATAATTTTTAACTACCATAACATTTCTAACAACTAGCACTGGTATTGTTCAATGAAACCATTAATGATAAAACTCAAACAGTTTCAAAATATGGATTTTTTGTTGTGTGGAAGCTATCCAGCTAGCTTATGGAAGGTTGGTGGATCTACTCAGGTGCCTGATTATACCTGAAATAATGCCTATGGAGGCATCTGAGGTCTTCCTTCACCAGTACACTTGGTTTGATGTAAAACCCAACAAAACAAACAAACTTTCTCATAAAAAAACCCAAAAGATTAAGTATGAATATAAGCAACAAGGTACAAAGATGTGAAGTTTAATTGCTAAATACAAATATACTTCACATCATAATGCATAAAAAATCCAATTAGGACATACCAATCTTAATTTGTTCCACTGCCTGAGCATCAAGCGTCATCAACTTGTGTTGTTTTTCATTCGGAGACAGCTCTTCCCATTGGTCAGTTCCCATTCTTATCCTGATACAGTCAACCAATAGTTTCTGTCGTATCACAGTGTACTTATTTTCAAGTGCCTGGAAATGTACAATCATAGTTGTAAAGATTAAACCTCTTGTTATGTTATGAATATGTTTGGTCCAGTAGTAACAATGATAAGACCAAAATTCTAATAAATGCTGGTTCAGTCCCATTAAGAAAAGTATAAACATACACCAAGTCCCAAATTTACTTACATGAATAAGAACTAGTTCAACATAAGAAACTAAAACTTTTTTTAAGGAAATTTTTAAACAGGTACTTAACCAAAGTGATTATAAATTATCTCTATGTATATTAATAAGAAAATCATTAGACATTAGTTCCTCTCTTAATTGCAGTGGATTTACCTGGGTAACTGGTCATAATAAAGAAACCCCTGCCACAGTGCAATTTCATGTTTTTCAATTACTTAATCCTCTAGCAAATTTGACACAATCTACTTAGCCCAAAGCATGTGGGCATGACATGAATATTACCTATGTTACCTGGATAACAAAGGTTGTTTTTTACCTTGAGTAGTAGATCATCAGTGGCCTCCCCTTGGTATCTTGTAAAGACAGCAATAACGTTCCAAGCATTACCAAGTCTACGATTGTTGATTTCTCTACTCAGACTGGTTCGGATATCTTCCTCATTCTACAAAACATACAAGTATACCAACATCATTTATGTATTGAAAATTTACATGAGAACATACATAGTATGCAATGAAGTTACATTTTGTTTGAAAGAAGTTGTGTCATTTCTTGCAAGTATACAATACCAAGTTTCAGCCGGAAAGAAATATAAAACAAATTACCAAAATTACCTTGGTTGCAGTGGATTTACCTGGGTAACTGGTTATAATAAAGAAACCCCTGCCACAGTGCAATTTCATGTTTTTCAATCACTTAATCAGATACACAGGTTGAGATTCCAAGGAAATACGAAAGGAGACAGCATTTTGTCCTCCCTATATTATTAATAAATTATCACTACAGACATAGCTGAAACACCAATCAACTGATTGCTGGACTTGATGTTTTGAACTTTGCCCAAATCGAGGACCATTATAGATTGCCTTTTGGGAAGATTCAGGTATTAACTTAAACAGTTATTTGATAACAACAAATCAAGAAAACCTATATAATCTCAAATACATGTACATGATCCATAAGAATCATTGTGAATGTCACTTAAATGGAACATATTGTATTTTGTTAATTCCAGTACTCTTTTCATACTCCAGTTTATTAGTAAAGTCAAAAAGAATTACCATGTTTTCAATATGTTCCAAGGTCAAGGCCACTTCTCGATCTTGTTCCTCCTGAAGTTCTGCCAGCAGAACAACAGCTATGGCCTCCATATTGTTCGTGTTTCCCGATACTGCAAGCTGCTCCTTCACACTGACTGCCCTCAATGCCGCAGCCTCTTCTAATATACTCACATGTTCCTCTCTATCCTCTATATAAACAATAAAAGTTTCTCTTTGTCTATTACATTTGAGCCGCGTCACAACAAAACCAACATAGTGCGTTTGCGACCAGCATGGATCCAGACCAGTCTGCTCATCCGCGCAGTCTGATAAGGATCCATGCTGTTCACTTACCAACTCTATTACAAGTAGAGAAACTGATAGCAAACAGCATGGATCCTGATCAGACTGCGCGGATGAGCAGGCTGGTCTGGATCCATGCTGGTTGCAAACGCACTCTGTTGGTTTTGTCTTGACGCGGCTCATTTCTTATAACTTCATTTTTGTCACTTTTATCACATGTTATTTAATATAGAGGAGAATACTCCTGTTTTCATTTTTAATAAAAAAAAGTCCTCAAAACTTTTGAAGTACATTCTTTGGACATGATTTAATGCTATAATATAGAATAAAAATTTAAAAAAAACCCCAACATATATACATGTAAATATAAGTTATAATGACATGAAGACTTGGTATCTTACTCTTACCAAACATACAATCTATTACTTATATAAATACCTAAATGTACTTAAATACTTCATGGTATCATAAAGGTTACAATTCTTTTAAGCATGTTTTCCCATATGAATCAAAATTAATTATCTAAAAAAATTATTTCAAATATATAGGAATTAATGATAAATTCAATCTATCTATATTTCTTTATCATGAAAAACTTGATTTAGCACTTTAGATCACTTTAATAGAATATTTGCATTATTGATATACAAGTAAAAATTAACTGATATTTTCTATAACTTTATGCTTTGGCATCATAAACTGTTATGGGTAAAGGCTCATTTATTCAATAAACTAACTCTTAATAACTAACTAACCTGGGTTTGTGAGATTCAAGTTATGTCGTTTTCCTTGCAGTTCTGTCAACCTTCTCTGACGCTCATCTTCCGACATCGTTGAGGCGGCTTCCACCAGATCATCTATACTTTCATCCTGTAAATGGTTCAGAATTATCTCCCTTTCATCACCATGTCGTTTCAGCATTTCTCGTACATACACAATTTGTAGTCCTGTTAAATCACCTGAAGCAGGTATTTTGTCCTTGGAGACCTCCGGTTCCTTTGTGAACTCCTCGTGTTGTTGCAGACGGAGTCTTCGTTGTTGTACACGTTTCCGTGACAACTCTCGTTGTCTGTCAATATCACTGTCATGTCTGTAATATAAAACATACTTAAGATTTGGATAGCATGAAATATTATTATTATTTTTTTTTTTTTTAACGCAACTTGCTGTAAATTAAATTGATTTTAATACTTTCATTAAATGCAAACATCTAAATCTTTTGAATGTAGGAAAAACCCCAACATCAAAACCCCACACCTCAAAATTTTCTAGAGTTGACAAAACACCGCACATGACACATATAAAGCAGACACTGTTTATTTTCCTATTTTAAGTGTGATCTTTTTGTTGCTATTGTTGAGTTTTTATATTTACATAATTATCACCATCAAGGATATGATAACTTTTTTGCTTTACATTTAGAGAAAGACTCCATGCTTTAACTGGCACTTGCAACAACCAACTCAGCATCTATGACCAAGCTGGATCTTACATTAGGTAGATTTTGAAGCATATAGTCTGTCTAACTTTTAATCAAATATTTGAAAGTTACACAATTATGTTATTATTTAAGTTGTGAGAGTGAACCATATACCTCTGTGTTAGTGTATCTTTCACTCTCTCCATCAGACCTATACTAAGAGTAGCTGTCTCAAAATCTTCCTCTACCTCAACTCTGTATGCTTCAATCTACAAATAAAATTAGATTGTTTTACTGACTATTGTGACACAAGATTCATAAAACTTACTATGTAATTTGATAATTTTTTTTATTACATACTTTCAAAAACATGTGTTGGTTCACTTTTGTTTACTTCATAAGCATCATTTTCTGCAAAAACATGTTTTATGAAAGGATTTCCAAGGAGATCATATACCTTACTGATATGATTTCTTTAAAAGGTTGATATATGGGACATGAAATAAGACCAGGTAAAATATAACATTGGTACATACAACCCTTGTGTCTTTAGTTAATAAACAGAATTTATTTTAGTTCGATCATATAAGCTTAAAGACACTCTGACTCTGTTCTCTGAAACAAAGCAGAACTAGGCTTAGAGTGTAAAGTTTCTTGCTCAAGGAAACAAAGGCTTGTCACTGATGGGCTTTGAACCCACATAGCCAATAATCCTTAGATTTTAAGTCTGATGCATTAACCACTCGGCTATGCCTGCAGGTTTAAAAAGTATGCAAGCCGATATTTTCTCATCAGATTTTCAGATGCTATGACATTACCTTTATCTCAACAATCCTCATTCTTTTCATTCTTAAACTCAAACTTTTCGCTTCCGGAGAATGTAACCATGACAACAGATATTCTTTCTCATTATCAAAGCGAGGCATTAGGTCAGCAAGCAGGTTAATAACTTTGTTATTGTCTACTGGATCTTCATCTGAAAAAATATAATCAATGCTGTTTTTCAAGAACAATCATTGACATAATGCAGATTTTCATTTAAACAAGGTTCATTTTAAATCTCTGCTGACTTGAATAGCAAATTATCTAAGGCTCAAAATTTAATGTACTTGAATTCAAATCTAGTAAAGAGAGACTTGTCATATGTAGACTGTTAGTTTTGCCATCAAGTTGTATGAACATGGAAATAAAATGGTGACATTCACTGACAATTCATTTTTATCATTCGGCTTTTATATGCAGATGGTAATAAAGCATTGGTATCAATGTGTTATGCAACTTATAAAGAACTTCAAATGCAAATTTTACATTTATAGGTACCTAACAGCTTATCTTATTTATGAAAATCATCAAGCATTAATTGTCTTCTTTAACAGTTATAAGTATAGAACTTCAAATTTAACACAGTCACATTTACAGTTTTGATACAAAATAAATTAACTCACCTAGTTTCTGCTGTTGTTTTCTTCTCACATACTCCGCCTTATCTTCACCAATCAATGTACGCAATGCTGGCAATATCTGAAATTCACAACAACCAAGTTTTTAACTTAAAACCCGAAAGAATGTTGCATAAAAAGTATAAAGTTCAGCTGCAGAAAGCCTTATCAAATTCAAAGGATCAGGTAGTAGATATGCAATTTAAGAGCTTATAATTGATCAATATTTTTTTTGCAAACTTGTTTACTATATTACCAGCACTCCTGAAATCTTTACCGGTATAGTCTCCACAATTACCTAGACAACTTCTCCTCAGAGAGTATTTACAAAAGAATTTTAAGCCAAGGCACATTGCTCCACTATTTGTATATCAAGGGTTGACTGCAAAACTGCAGTATCTTATTTGAAATAAAGAAGGACTTAACAACTGTCTTGAAGTCAACACTCGGTGTGTATGTACAATCTGAAAATGTTTCCTGTGAGAGACAAACTGAACTAATTGAAGTCCTCAGGATATTGATCCTTTGCCCCAACTGCTCAATAATCATCCTTAGTAATCGAGGTTTGTCTCTCATGATTCAAACAAAATTTTAAATTTTCACTTTATGCTTAAATGTCATTGCACTATAGGTGTCACCATATTTCAGTATTTGTCATAAAATGAGTTAAATATACCTTAGCTTTAGCTTTAGGACCAAGTAATGTCTCCATTTCTAACAATTTCCCCTCACTTCTGAAGAGCTTCTCTTGTTTAATAATCTCCTTCATAGCAGCTTGTTTCTCCTCTTTGGAAAGGCTACAAAAAAGAAATGACTGTGCAAGAACCAATTTATTGATACACTTGATATAGCAAAATTAAATATGTTATCCAATTACATCAGCAAAGACACCATTATCTCTGAAGACTGAGAAATTTTGTGAGTTCCAGCCCTGGGTATGACACATGTAAGTTTTTCTTCCATTAAAATTATCTTTAAATTTCTTTACAGATATATCCTTCTCTAGAATTATTTTGAATTTGCTGTCTTATAATGACATCATACAGACTTTATGTAAAAAGTGTATCAAAAATTAAAAAAACAGAATACATACCTTCTCCAATCCATCTGGTCTTTCAATGACATCAACAACATTGTCTTTCTCAGTCTCTCATACTTGCTTTCCAATGCCTGTAATTTTGTTTTGTAAAGTTTTGTAATTCAGAAACAATATACATGTATATCATGACTAAATTGCTCCAATATTCTATAAAATCAAATCTATTTTTTTTTCAAAATAGCACATAAAAAAGTTTTTTTAGTTTTTGATTTTTATAAATATACATTTTATCATGAACAATGTTGCTTGAAGTAAACAATTTATGTTAAGTTTCATAAAAGTTGTAACAAATTTGCCCTTTTTAATTTTACGTCAATACCGGTACTAGGTTTAACACATACATATACTCTTTAAAACAAAAGGATAAAAGTCTAATACTCAACTAAAAACCAAATTGAGGGTAAGAGTCACTTAAACAGCATGTCAAAGAATGAAGTCATTGAATTCAAGTGCAAGCTCAATGTCAACAATATTATCAAGTTGTCTATCCCCGCATAGACATTATGCAGGTAAGCTCCTGTTATTGTACATACCTTGAGATATTCCTCATCCTCCTCTGTGACGTCTAGTGTACCCAGCATTACTATAGCAATGTTGTCATAGTGTTCCTCTATCCTAGCTGTACATTGTTTACCAAACACTTTGATTATCTCATCAGTACCCTGATATATATACCACCAGAAAAGTTTATTTGCATTCCTCAACATTTCAATTTAGATTATGATAGATAAGATAAAACAGTCGAAGCATTCCCCACATTTCTTTATCAATTAAGTGTTTATTTTTTTAATAATGCAGAATTTAAGAAAATTCTCTGTTTGTTTAAATTGTCATTGTTTTTTTTTTGCCTCTGTTAAAAAAATGCACTTCACCAGGAAACGACTTTAAACAACTTATTTTCCTTTCACGACAACATCCTCTGCAATGCCTACAAAAAATGACTTAGAACAGGTTACTAGCAAATTATCTAACTTTTTTTTCCCCAAAATTAACTTTCAATATTACATATTCAGCTTTTAAATTTTCAAGTAATGCCCGAGTCAATTCAATTAAACAGATAAGCTGGAAATTAACTTCATTTTCAAGATTCATTTTACTTATATATGTAGCCTGAGTAATATTTATTAACAACATACCATTTTTTGTATGTCTTGAAGAATTCCCTCAAAGTCAACACCTTGCCTTTGCTGTAAATCAGCAAGTAAAACTTCATACATTTCTTCTTCTGAGATGCTTCTATTTCCACTATTCTCTAGCTCAAACCTCCGCTCCTCATACCTCAAACATGTTGCTGATATGAAAGTAATAAGATACTGTATAACATGATATCAATACTGCAGAAGTTTTAAGAAAGCCTATCTCAAACCTGCACAATAATTACACTGGGATCAAAATCATACAAACGTACCTTAATTGGAGGAAAGAATCCTTGAAAGCAAGCAGCACATTTGGGAAATCATCCCTAAGCCCAATCCAACAGGAACAAAATATTATGTTATGGAAAATTTTATCCTGTTTAGTTAAATATCTGTGTGTATTTGGATAAATGAGGCAATTTCTGTTGAAACTACTTTGAGATGCAACCTTAAGGGTATGAAAACTTGATTTTACTTCTTTTTTTTATAATATGTGTAGTAAATTTTGTACATTGTAATGTATAGCTTAACACTATCAAATTATCTGCAGACACAATATACATGTAGCACTTAAAGCTTTCTGCTTCTGGTACAATATAATATTTATAGGATAGTTAATATCATGGATGTCATGTCAAAGCAGTTTTCTATTAAAAAAATCTATGAGAGACATTGTATAAATGATTTCAAAACTTTATTTATGATTTAAATTAAAGGGAAAATTTGATCATAAAGGGCAAACATAAAAGGTAAATTGGAATGTCTTTGTACTACAGAAAGTATCTTAAATACTGTATCTTAAAGCTACATGCCTCCAGATGAGTCAAAATATTTCAATAAAATCAAACTTAAGAAAAATGTACTAAAATGTTAGGAAATGTAAAAAGATTCAAGATTCAAGTAATATTTTAAAGGTTCTGTGCGATTAATGACTGATTTTTCAGCATTTTCAACTATATTTCTACTGCTTTACTAACGCAGTAAGGGCTATTCATGCATATTTTGATCACTTTTTAGTTATTTACGCGGTTTATATGTGGCATTGAAAATGTGTAAATTGTTTCCATTTGGCTACTTCACAATTTCAAACATTCAGATACATTTTCAAAATTTTCATGGAAATTAGCATGAATCTGGAGGCGTGCTGCTTTAAAAGGGGCTGTAACTCAAACAATTACAAATGTACCTTGCATGATGATTCCTCTCGAGACAGATTTGTCTGCCCTTGGATTAATTTTCCAGTTTTGATGCTGACTCTGGAGAAGTTTGAGCTGCATTTTTCTTTCCTCTGGTTTCAGTTTTCTTGCCTTGGCAATGCCGTCTTTAGCTTCCTTGCTTTGTAACAAGAATATGAGAGCCTGAAATGGAATACAATAGATTAATTTTTTTTTCGTTTGTCACCAACACAATATAGGTCATATTGTAACTTTCCACTTTACTGGTTGAGGAAGACCTCAGGTGCCCTTCAATACATTATTTCAGGGAAGGACGGCCATCTGAGTAGACAAACTGATGTTCTGTAAGCTAGCTGGATAGTTTCATCACATGAAAGAATCCAAAGCTGTGATATGAGGGGTAAGTGGAAAACGTATGTAAAAAATCCCCTGATCCTCAATATCTTCTGTAAGTATCTGCTGCCTGCAGTTCATAAAATTGTTTTTTGAATTTTGAAAAAGAATACTTCCAAAACACCAGCATTAAATGTGTTAGTGCATGCCCTTAGGAGCAAATGGCACATGCACAAAATTGGTGCTTAACAGTTCAAACCTTACTTAAAATAGCAGCATAATAGTTTGTTCCAAAATATTTTATCCTGTTCATGTATAATATTCATGTTTGTTAAATCGTGTGTAGGGAATCACAGAGACAATCTATGTAACATCTGTCTCGAGAATCGTCCATATGATAATAGAAACAACGTAATTCTACTGTACATATATTCTAGAAATTACTTTTATCAAATATCGCTTTATACTCTTTAATAAACAAAAATGATAATGCCATAAAGATGACTTACCTCCCTTTCATAGAAATGTTTTTTAGTCATTTCTCTGACCAGTTCTACCTGTAGATCAACAAGCTGTAATTGTTGCAGGAAATGTCTGTCTGGAATATCTTGTGGTGACTTCAACTGAGACTTTCCTACCCTATCTTGTATACGGAGCTGGGCAAGACGCTCTGTCCTACTTCTGTCCCAATCTGACCTACTCACATAAACAAAGGTAAACAGTATAATAAATCATAACATTACTATTTTTCTGTAATATCTATTTAATACTGAAAAAAATAGCATAATGCACATAATCAAAACAGGATCAAATGCAGTCAGAACTAACCAAGTTATGAGGTCAATTATGAAACTGTTACTTTACAATGACTTTTGTACCATGAAAAAGTATTTTTGTTTTGATGAAATGAAAAAATAAATATAATGAATGTCTGCAGATAGATGGTAAATATTTGAAATACAATATGTGATCCGGAAATGTAACAAAGAAATAAATCTATTCAAAGCATTTTTTAATTTTTAACAATGCACATCAAATTTCTTTGGAGAAATGTAATATCATTTAAAAATTCTTTTCCTTATTGTATTATGTATCAATTTTTCATTTGCATTAATCCTTAATTGAATAAATATATACAAGTTGCAAAACCTTAAATTAGAGAATAAACCTTCCGAAAGACTTTCATTATTTAGACAGCTATTTCAGTTAGAGAACAAATGTATAGAAATGCAGTCCATTTACAACTAGAAATTTCATACAAATGTACTAGTAATTGTATCTTTCTTTATTAAAACTTTAAACAGAGAAACAAACATGAATTTTTTTTATCACATGTAATGTCATTTTAGCTTGAAATTTGTTTCTTGCAAAAGGAAGACAATCTTCTGTTGTACATAATATACTTTATGACAAAAAATACATTCATTTTTCACATAAAAAGAAGAAAATATTTCCAAAGATTTGCAAATGTTTTGAAATTGCTTTATTTTGGGACAAGAATTTCTGAAAGAAAGTTATGTTTGGCTGTATTTTTTAATGTTACACTGTACTGAAATTATGCAAAACGAAAATATGGAAAAACAAGTTTTGTGCCTTTTTGTATAGTTAACATTATTTAATCCCTATTAAGAGAAATTGATAGCATTTTTCCCCAATTCAATAGGTGCTGTGGTGGATCCAAAATGTTAAAAAAAACCTGAAAGGCTGTCTCCACTAAAACAGAATGAAATAAATTTGATAATTATTTTTTTAGATTTTGTTGCAAAATCAAATTCAAACACAACACAAAGTATAAAAAGTTGAAATTTAAGAACATGTATATGATTAAGACAAGATAACAAAAAACTGCAGTAACACCAAAATATATACCGTGTAGTTAGCATGAAAATTGACAAATAGTTGCAGGCACTTACCAGGCATTGCTAAATGAAACAGATGTTTAAAGAAATGGTGAAGAACAACATGCAAAAGAGAAAACTGTGTGAAATTCAATGAGAAAAAAACAACAACAACTTATTGTAAGATTTAAGGCTATATTGATACAGAGCTTAGGAATCCAATACAAAAATAAAATAATAAAAAAGCATTATTAAAAAGCAGAGATTAAAAGAAATATAATTATAGAGACTAAAGAATCTCATTGCGTTGAATGATAAAAAAGAAGTACAGAATTATTAACTCACATAACAAAATAAAGACAGATATAGAAGCATTTTTTGAGAAAAGAAAGATAAGAAAGATGACTGTAACCTAAATGCATCAATCAATTGTTATCTTGTCCCTTTCATTCCCAGGGCAGTGTGGTGGATAGCAGAAAGTTTTTATCCACTGTCTGTCCCCATCCCTTTGTTAACTCAATGCAGTGCTTCTTTTTCAAAATAGCCAGGGATATGTCAGACGCTAAGTGATAGAGAGGGGATTTACCATCTGACAGGTACTGCAAGGCTGCAACATTCACATGTTTTAAATGATCCAAAAATAAAAAGCCTACTCCCCCCCCACCATCCACCCCAAATACTCTCAAATGGTAGGGGCAAAGGTAACAACTGACTGGTGCATAAGAAAGAATCATGATAAATTAGCAACTCAACTATAAGCATCAATGCTGTCAACTCAAGTATGGAGGTTTTATTTTAAAGTTGAAATAAACTGAAATTTTTATGTAATTATGTTGTTTACATTGTTTCCAAGGGATCTCCCACTCACCAGATTTTATATTGAACTGATGATTATTATACTTTTATAGTCAAATCTTGTCATACCTGTCTATTCTTGGTTCCATAGCTCTTTCTGCCAACCCTACAGTTGTTGCCACGGATATGAACCCCGTCTCTTGTTCCATCAGGAATATCTGTCTCATTAACCTAGCATATTCTATAATCATCGCCTTGTTAAAAGAGTTTCCTACATCTAATTTTAGAGTAGAGAGTAGAGCCTCACGTTCCTGGCGATGACGCTTGTGTAGCTGCAGTACAAGTCCAGTGCATGTAGAATCACCTAAGTCAAAATTAGAATAAAAGGTTACATTATAGGTGAAACATTTATGAAATAAGCTAATTAAAAGCTTACCTAAGTTCGACCCAAATTGTATGATAAGTAAATTATCTGACATTGTTTTATGTACTCACTGAAACATAAGATCTACACAGATAAATATGATCTTTTTTGCATACTGCATTATAAATATATCGAGTACTGCCAATGTGACGGATAAACAATAAATAACAACATTTTAGACATCCATTATTAACCATTCAGGCAGTAACAAAGAAAACTTTTCAACTCCATTTACCTGTACCTTTCAAACCATCTATGAACTGTAAAATATGCATTTAATTCATCGATTAAGTAATTTTTTCCCTGTTTTATACAGTCATGTACGTACTTGTAATACTAAAGATTTCTTATATTTCTCTTAAGTATACTATTAAGAAGACTTTCAAAATACCTGAAATTATTTGCTCATATCTATCTTGTACAGCCATTGCTATGTCCTGCGCTGATTTTCCCTTCTCTTTCAACCTGACCTTCATCTCATCGATCTGGCGCCGGTGTTCCCTATCATGTAATCGTAGTTCACCCATCAGGCCAGTCAGTGTGGCCAGCATCTGGTACGAACCTCCAGGCAGGGAACCGTTGAATGCGGAGCCATCGCGTAAGAGATTTTTAATCTGTTTTTGTATTTGCTGAAAGACTTCTGGTATCTCCTCTTCAACAGCTTAAAGTAAAAAACAAAAGAGTCATACTGGCACTTAGTTGTTCACTTCTTTCCTATGAAGTTTCAAGTCCACACTTTTAATAGTTTAGGAGAAAGGGCCCGGGCAAAATTAAAGTATGAAAATTATAAATGGGCAATAACTTGAAAAATAAGAAGTGCAGAGCATTGGTTCTTGTGCACTGCACATTAAAAGAAGCATGCATACCAAGTTTGGAGTCAATCCCACTTAAAGTGACTGAGTTATGCTCTTGACAAGCCTTAGGGGATGCCGCCAACACCAACGACAAAAGGCAACACAAAAAGTGAGAATAAAAAAAAATCCTGAATTTAGTTATCTTTTTTTTTCGTTTTTAGAAAAAGAAACTTATTTGGAGTCTTAAAATCTAAAATTCAGGAAAAACCCATACATATTAAGATAAAATTGTCTTACCAGCTCCATGTTTTGCCATCTCTAACATAAGTTTCTCTTTCAGGGCTTCATATTTCATCTCCAACACTTCATAAAGGTCATTCATATTCACATGACCTTTAGGCTTACCCTTGACTTTGCTCGGATCAATATCAAGGCCATCATCAAATAACATAGCCTCTAAACCTTCATGATTCCACCTGAATGATTAAATGAGAGTAGACATTTTATTAAGGCAATCATAAAACTGTTAGACAAACAATGATCTATAAACAAGGAACTTTAACAAGAAACTTTAAGTTTTCATGAAAATCATTTGTTTTTCATCAACAGTTGTACATGAATATCTCTATAAAATGTATCAAGTAAATTAAAAGAGTAGTACATGTACATTGTACATGTGTAAAAGTAAGGTTGGTATACAGGTAAGTTCAAATCCACTAAAAAGTCAATGTTTTTTAGTAAAAAATGAATTAAGCGCAATAAGAGTAACACCATTCATCCTTCAACATTAAATTATTCAAGTTAGACATGTAGGAGGGTTTGCTGTTGTTTAAAAAAACAAACAAAGAAACAACAACAACAAGTTAAAGAATAGTCCACCTTCCCACATGTCTAATACATGTACATGTATATAGTCACTAAGTAATGTTATATCTAACTTTAATGTATTTAAGTAATATCTCACTTGTCTAGTTTTCGTCTGGCATTTGACATTTGATGCTCCACATGTTCTTCGTGGTCCTTATGTTTACTGTCATCATCATCCTGAAAGTTAAAACCATCATTAAACCTATGACTCAAATATTCAAAATGTCTTAAATCATTAAATGCCAACAAAATCTTGTTCGTCAGCAATAGCCTTCATCAAAAACACATGTACTCAACTTATTTTTTTCTGCAATTCTTAGTCAATTTGAGTGAAAAACATTTTTCATTCTTTGGGCCATTTTGCATAATCAACATGATTTTTCTGGGAAAAGAAGGGAATGACCTAAATATTTGAATACAAGTTATTACTCCATAACTTCATGAAACAATATGCAAATCTTGGATAGTATTTCTAGTCCTGTCATGTCAAAAAACCTCAGTATGAGGTCTATAACATTTTATAAAATGTATCTTATTCTTTAATGATAACAGGTCTTTAAACTAATTTCTATTCCTTTCGAAAGTAACTCATATCTAAGTAGGCTTCTCTACACTGACAATAACTTCACTTTATATACACTGTATACATGTATGTATGTTAATCTAAAATAACTGAAACAACAAGTGACTCATACCAGAGATTCTTGCATTGATCTGTACAAGTCTGATTCATAATTCATCTGCCTCATCAATATTTTATTTTCTTCTTCCTTCAAGTCTTTGTCTGAGCATGGGGATCCTACTGGCAAGTCACACAACCAGAACCGAACTTCATCAAAGCATACATCAGCTTCTGGGTACTCTCTGGAGCTCACAAACCGGTGCCAAGTTGCGAGTGAAAACTTCTCACCATGAATCTCTTTAAACAGCAGCAGTGTCTCATGAAGAGTGATCAAATTTCTTCCTGTGTAGTCAAGACCCTGAAAACAATAAAACATTTAGTATTTTACAATTTCACTGAACCAAACTTCTTATTCTTCAATATCTTCATGGAACATTTGTATAAACACACGTTTTCCAACAACTGAGCTGTTTTTTCATGTGTCATGTCTGCAAAAAAATAAAACAAACTTGATTTTTTAACTTTACAGCCACACAAAAACAAAACTGTAGCTAATATGGTAAATTAAATATCCAAATCATATCATGATTACTGTATGTTCATTCATCAACAGATGAAATAATCATAACTCTCATAAAATGTATCAGATAATATAGTACATGTCATTTCAACTAATGAAAAACCAATCTCACGAAAACATCATATATATGAGCCGCGTCATGACAAAACCAACGTAATGCATTTGTGACCAGCATGGATCCAGACCAGCCTGTGCATCCGCGCAGTCTGATCAGGATCCATGCTGTTCGCTTACAAACCCTATTACAAGTAGAGAAACTGATAGCGAACAGCATGGATCCTGATCAGACTGCGCGGATGCGCAGGCTGGTCTGGATCCATGCTGGTTGCAAACGCATTACGCTGGTTTTGTCGTGACGCAGCTCATACTTATTTTCAATAAATTGATGATGATTATGATACAGACATAAAACTCATGCTTTTATATGGCCCTGACCATACAATTTATAGATGTATCAGAAATATTAAAGGAAAAAAGGACTTATCACAAAGACATAATTTAAGTTCTTCTGACTGATTTGAGCCTTGGAAGAAAAAAAGATCAACAGATACCTGGAAGTCCCAGTAAGCTTGTTCTTCTGTTGCCCTTCTTCTTTCTACCTCTGTTAGAACATCAAGAAACTCTCTACGTGTCACCATTCCTGAGGAACCACTTACAACTCTAATGGCCCCCTCAATGTGTTGTATGCATATTGGTGAAAAGTAGAGGTCCTCACAAAATACATGTAATTGATCAGCAGTAACAACACCTTTCCTTGATAGATCTATTGTATCATACATCCCTTCAAAGTCATGAACACCCATTTTGACTGTGTGTTCCGAGAAACAATTAAAAAGTTCTTGCTTTACTTTTGCTACTTAAATGCCATGTGACCTGAAAATGTACACATAAATCTGTAAAAAAGTCAGAAAAGAACATGCAATACCTACATGCTTTTTTATGAATGCAAATTTATAAGCATATTCCAACCTGTTGATGTTCAACCAGTTTTTGTTACTAAAAGTTTAGCAGTCCAAAGAGATATGTAACAGAAGTATCAATCAATAAAAAAGTCAGGGCTCACACTGGCTTAAAAAAATGATAGGCTATGCACAACACATCATCATCATGTCTTACACATTTTTATCACACACCTGTGCCGATTTTGCTACTCCGTAAATATGGTATTGCACGGCCGTGCATATATTTTGATGTGACGTCATTAGCGTTATACAAACATAGCGTAAAGATGCACTAAATGTTAGCGTTATACTATAGGCAAATCATTGAAAAATTGAAAAATGACTCTTATTTCACTTTAAACGGTCTTTGATTTAGGTATGTGATAAATAGAATATTAATTTGTGTAAGTTCATTACTGAATTTATTGAACTCGTTGAATAAAATAATATTATTCAACTCGTGCAATAAATTCAGTATAGAACTTACACTCATTTAATATTCTCTATATGCCAAATTATTATAAAATCCATCAATGCACTTTTATGAAAAAATTCATATTATGAATTTGAAATACAACTATGACCTTGACCTTTGAGGTAGGGACCTGATTCTTGCATGTGACACTTCATCATTATGTCCAACACATTTATGTGTAATAATTTTTAAAACCATGGAGGAATGACAGATTTGTTGACCGGACACTAATATCAGTGTACTTTTATAAAAACTCATATCATGACTCTTGATATACATGTATGACCTTAAATGACAAAATTCATATGGAAGGACTGATGGTAGCATGATAGCTCATGCAGTTGGTTAGACCACTGGCTGTCACACCTGAGGTCCAGGGTTCGATCCTTGGTTACACCCTTGGGATTTTTCAGAGACACTTTCAGTGTTTCCCACATACATTTTTGTAAAGTTCTAGAAGTAACTAGAGGTGTACTGGTAAGAAATCCAGGTAATCATTGCATGTCTCAGTGCTATACACTGGGGAATTAGTAACGATTCGCCACACTAACGATTCGCCACATAACGATTCGCCACAGAGTAATAACGATTCGCCACAGTTAAATAACGATTCGCCACAGTATGATTATAGATCTAACAATGATTTTTTTAGTTATCAACAAACTTTTTCCTTTTGTTTTAATAATTTGACAATGGCAATAATTTAATAATGTTTCTTAATACAAGTAACATGAACTTAAAGCCCCCATCGCGGATTTTCAATTTATCAAAGTAACATTATTACAGGAGTACATTTACAAGAAAGTAATTTTATATGTTGATTAATCATAAACATAAAATTAATGTCAATAAATATAAGAAGAAGAGAAGAAATAGTTTATTTTGGTAACTTATACATTTACAGTATCTCGTTACATGCAATAATTACAAATATAATAATTCTATGGTCACATGACAAAAGCAAAGAAAAAAAGATAAGAAAAACATAAAAAGTTTAAACTAATGACATTCCTACGGAGAACAGACAGCTGCAAATAAAGGAACAAAGAACATCACAATATCATTATCATTCATAGAAATAAATATATATTTCATATATTATATATATGTCAAATATTAAAAAAAAATATTGCAAAAACATGTGAACATTACGAAAATTGATTTACGATAATTGATTAAAGAACGCATATCTAAAACATTTGTCACACCTTTTATTTTAACAAGCCAATCACCTTAAATTGTATAAATATTTAATTGACACCGAAATAATCCTTTAATTATCTGACAATGTGAGCAGATTTCAAAACAATGCGGCAATTTTTATGTATGTAAATTTTGTAATAAAATATGTTAGTTATATAAATAACTTATCTAAATTGTGTACATGTAGTAATGTAATTTTGGTAATAATATATATTTATTTTCATTTATTCAATTAAAGCTGTTTTCTTTTAATTTTCCAGTTTATATAAATAACGAAGTTTAACTTATAGATCTACAATGTGTAATGTAATTTTGGTAATAAAATATTCATGTGTCTTTATTCAATAAAAGCTGTTTTCGTATAATTTTCCAGTTTATATAAATAACGAAGTTTTTCTCATCTACAATGTGTGATGTAATTTTGGTAAAAATAAAATATTTATTTTCATGTGTTTTAATTTATTCTATAAATGTTTGTTATTATATTTTTCCAGTTTATAAATAACGAAGTTATAAAATGTGTTATGTAATTTTGTTAATAAAATATTTATTTCATGTGTTTTTATTTTATAAAAGTTGTTAGTATATTTTTCCAGTTTATATCAATAACGAAGTTATAAAATGTGTTTTGTAATTTTGTTAATAAAATATTTGGTTTCCGTGTTTTTTATTCAATAAAAGCTTTATTCAGTGTAATTAATTTATGTAATTAACAAATAAAATATAAAATGGAAAAAAGTTTTCCATCAACAATTTGAAAACAGGTGTGAAAAAGTTTGTATTTGAACACGTGGCGAATCGTTATTTAACTGTGGCGAATCGTTATTACTCTGTGTCGAATCGTTATGTGGCGAATCGTTAGTGTGGCGAATCGTTACATTACCACACTGGCAATGTAAAAGATCATGTGGTATATTCAATAAGAGCTAGGGACAGGTTCTCTGATTCCCTTGTATCTCATAGCTGTCTCTGGAGTGACTAGTCTAGAGTCATGTCTACATCCCCATGAGGGGTTCAACATTAAGGGAAGATAGATAGATGTCTGACCAAAGGATGGACACTACAAAGACTATATGCCACCCCATTTTTTTTTTTTTGGGGGGGGGGGGGGCTTTAAGTAAAGAGGGGGGGGGCGGGCCTTTAAGTAAAGAAGTATCTGGCAATAGTGCCAGCTAAAAACTCAAGCCCTATGTTAGTCATAATATAAACAGGGAATTCCTAACGGTGACAGGTCTGGACTATAATCACTAGCTGTTAATTGGTCTTTTGAAAGTGACGATTACTAATTTTAACATCGAGAAATTAAGAAAATGTGCTATAAACAACTTCTGTGATGTATGCATAAATGGAATTCATTTTATCAGTATGAAGATAAAATAAAGTTACAAAGTTGAAATAAAAACCACAAAAAAACTTTGAATAAAAATAGGTCGCGAAAAAATGTGTCAAATGATAAATGACAGTAATGGTCATTGTCATTGGAAGCTGTCAGAGGATATACATAATTGGATCATTTCAAAACCAAAGCTGTAATTCAAGTTTAACTTAGTCAACAACAAAATCTAGAGTACCTTCTAAAGTAAGCCTATGTGGCAGCCATTTGTAAACAATCTGTATCCTGATGACATCATCACAATTTTTGTCACGTGATACTCCCGGAAATGCTAAAATTATGAAAATAAAAGTTAAGAGACAGAGGTTCTTGCAAATGTAAGGATTTTCAGGTCCGGATAATCACTTTTAAATCAATTAAACATCAATGACAACAAAACATGGAGCAAGGTAACTAATATTTATTTATTAATCAGTCACATACGCAAAAACATTATACAATCGGTGTGTATTTCTAAATCGAATTCAGCAGTTCACTCTGTAAGTCTGTTCAGCAGATGAGGTAGACTTGTCATAGATGTATGGTGACAATTTAAAGTAGTTTCTTTAGAAGAAACAAAACCAAATTTTAAGGAAATATGTCATTGACAGAATTTTAATAGTTTTTTATATATAGATCTATAATATAAGATAAACCTTTCTCAATATTTCGAAATTTTACAAACTGATATTACATAGCTGTGATGGGTGACCATCTTTGATATAATATACATAGATATCAGTCTTTACTGTGAAGGGCTACCATTGCCTATATAATAAAAAGCCCTGGCGCACAATTTGTTGGGCTAGATTAACCAGTTAACCCTTTAAATTACCTCATTTATAGGCGAAACAACGCACTTTCGACCCCCCCCCTTTTTAGGCCTGAAATAGTGAAAAAATGTCCTATTTGGGCCCCAAACACATGTTTTCGTTTGAGAAATGTTGCTAAAAAAAGTGAGCCAATTTTTTTTTGAAAAGCCTTTGACTCTATCTCAATCCCTTGAGAAGTTGCAGCACTTTGAAATAAATTTTGATGGAAAAAATCGAGGCAAAATAGTGACTTTTGGCAATTTTGAGATGTCCCCTCGTTGCCATGGTAACAGGAAATTTAAGACTGAGCATATCGTTACAAAGGCAATAGTCCAGTCAACATTTGTGCCAAGTTTGATTAGTATTGAAGCATTTTTCATAGTTTCATAGCAGTTTGAACTTGTAAGAGGAGGCTTTTCAGTGAAAATGGCCATTTTTCACAATATGCTCATGGGGGAAAGGGTTAACTGATCGTTATTAAATTGATAAATATAAATTCATTAAATTGATAGTTTTTTACCAATCGTCAAAAGTAGTTATGTACATTTTTGGCCATTTATAAATGTGTCTAAGCTATACTGACTGGAAAAATCACTGAAAATCACTTCTTTCTAAAGACCATGAGTTTAAAATGAAAGGTAGATTAATGCTTGCATTTTACTCTCTTGTTGAATTCCTTAAGGGGATCACACTCCATACCTCTTTATGTGGACAATCAGCCCTCTCACCAAATATCTACTCCAACAGGTCCGCATGTTAAAAGCCATGTTTGTAGTCTCAATATTTTGACTGCAAGACCTACCAATTTTACAAACTAATATTACATAGATGTTGTAAAGTGTGACAATCGTACATATAATGAAAAACCCTGGGACACAATTTGTTGGGATAGCGTCTCAACAAGTTGATATATTACATTGATTATTTGACCTAAATCTGTTCGAAATTAAGGAGTTTGTCGGAATAATTCTCTAAATTTGACCCCTCTATGTGTCAAGTTATCCAGGTCACAAAATTTGAGAAAGGAAATCTCAAAATCTCTATTGAAGCCCAGCTAGAATTGGTTAGCAAAACACCTAGGCAATAATTGGATATTTGGCATAACCTGTCATGTGATGCTCAAAATCTCGGTCCATAAAGTCCAGACATTACCGTAATGCATCATTAGGCCTCACCATTAATATGGTTTTAAAATAAATAAAATGGAATTTCCTGAAAGTTCAACCTTTTGGATCAAGAAAGATTATAAATGCCTTTGATGATATACTCCACTCAACCCAAGGGCAAGGCTGTTGGTACCGTAGTGGCCTGAATGTAAGAGCACCAATTTTTATTCAAGGCTTCAAGATCCTTCTACAGTGAATCAAGAGCATTATTCTTTGGAAACTTTAACACCTTTTGCCATAACTTTCCGTGAATGAAGCATGCGCTGTTCAGCTTTCAGAAGAGTATAACTGCTTATTGAATTCATTCTTTAGAAAAGACACATTGGTATATTTTTCATCAATTTGTCTATAAAGTCACAGTATATTTTAAATATTTGGGAAAAAATCTCAAACCCGGTAAGATTTTATGTTAAGTATATTAACTAATAAGTAAAATTGTATTGATGCAAACTTTGATTGCTTTAGCAAAGTCTCTAAATTATAATGTTTATGTGTTGAAAATTTGAGGTTCTTTTGAGATAAATTTGTAGTGCCCTAGTTTTCAAGTTTTGTTTACATAAATCATTGTACAACTTCTTTCTAAAGTTCATGAGTTTAAAATTAAAGGTAAATTAATGCTTGCATTTTACTCTTGTTGAAGTCTGAGCAAAAAAAAATAAATGAGCCGTGTCACGACAAAACCAACATAATGGCTTTGCGACCAGCATGGATCCAGACCAGCCTGCGCATCCGCCCAGTCTGATCAGGATCCATGCTGTTTGCTTACAAATTCTATAACAAGTAGAGAAACTGATAGCGACCAGCATGGATCCTGATCAGACTGGGCAGATGCGCAGGCTGGTCTGGATCCATGCTGGTCGCAAAGCCATTATGTTGGTTTTGTCGTGATACGGCTCAAATTGATTTCATTTTATAAAAATAAATAATTTTTTTGAGCTTTATAATTGATTCAATTACTTATTACTTAAAGTTATTAAAATGATGGCTATATACTTATACTTACTGACTATATAATCATTCAAATGATCTTGTTATTCAGTTATGTGGTTTCCTGTTTAATTGTTTCACATATTTGTTAAAGAGATTAAAAGTGACTAGATTTAAATCAAGGAATAAAAATTAGCTTTATGTGCATAGTCTTATGATATTGCACAGTCCTGGTTTAGATGTGCATGCAAAGTAGCTTAATTGCTAAGGCCAGAGTTTATTGAAAAAAAAATTTGTTTGTTGGTTGAACTACATTCAAAGGAGAAGTCCCAGTAATTGATCTAACGTCATTTTGTAGTATTGATGTAAAATGATATTGTATATTTATGCACACTTTAGATCTTAGTCATTGTTGACTATTGAAATAATGTGAATCATGTTTAGAATGATTATGTTTTGTATCTGTTGAAAAAATTGAACAGTTTAAAAATGAAACTTAGACTGTGTCTTCTACCTGTAGGTCTTCACTCTCCGTGCCTGAAAGGGCGGATGTGTCCTAATTAAGCTAAGAACACAAACACACATCTCCTGATACCTGTGCCAGGACATTAAAAAAGCCTTAATTTTTAAAAAAAAATATTTATCTGTCCATATTTTGTATTTCTCTATGTTATTCGCATGGACTTTTATCTGCATTGTATTTTGTTAATTTCTGGCAACCCAAGTCATAATAATACAAGAGACTGAATAGTTCCTATAGAAATCAGAATCTTTAGTTCACTGAGTGGATGATATTGCTGTCTGATTAGACATTAATACAGTGGTGTAAGGCTACTTAGCTTGTCAATATTGAATCATTGTGATTACATGTACATATTTGGTTCCAATCAGAATGCTTCACAATTTAACCAATCCACCTGTTTAAATTTTTGACTAGGAAGTTTACAGGTGCATGTCATAAATATATTGTGATAAGAATGCCAAACTCTGAAAGTTATTTTACCACAACAAGTGTTCTATTTTTAGTATAAACCACATTGTACAAAGAAGTACAGTAATCTTATTCTTAGTATTTGAAAGGCCGACTAATAAAACAGGTTGTAAAATAGATCATTTCTTCTAATACTAAATAAATTCTTGTAAATTAGATCATTTCATTCTTATACTAAATAAATTCTTGTAAATTAGATCATTTAGTCATATACTAAAAAAATTCTAGTTAATTTATACTAAATAAATTCTTGTAAATTAGATCATTATACGCCCGTTTGAAAAACGGGACGTATTAATTATGGGAACGCCCCTGCGGGCGGGCGGGCTGCGTCCAATTTTGTCCGGAGCATAATTATCTCCTACATGTATGGAGGGATTTTAATGAAACTTCATAGAAATGTTCACCACTATAAGGAGCAGTGTCGCGCACATGAACCAGGTCTCTAGGTCAAAGGTCAAGGTCACACTTAGAGCTCATTGAAATATGCTTGTCCGGAGCAAAACTTCCACATGTATAGAGGGATTTCAATTTTACTTGGCACAAATGTTCACCATTGTGAGGCGGAGTGTCGCGCGCAAGATTCAGGTCCTTGCGGCCAAGGTCAAGGTCACACATAGAGGTCAAAGTTCAGATAAAAATATGAAGATGTGTATATGGACCATTTAGTCATCATTTATTGAGGGATTGTAACACAAATGGTCATTATCAAGACTATGGCTGTGATACATATAATTTAGGTCAATATATACAAGGTCAAGGTCACTTGAGATGATGAAATATCCAGATTTTGTCCGGAGCATATCTCCTTCACGCATGTAGGGATTTTAATGAAATTTCATAGAAATGTTCACCATTATGAGAAGCCATGTCACGCACATGAACTAGGTCTCTAGGTCAAAGGTCAAGGTCACACTTAGAGCTCATTGAAAAACGCTTGTCCGGAGCAAAACTTCCACATGCATAGAGGGATTTAACTTGGCACAAATGTTCACCATTGTGAGGCGGAGTGTCGCGCACAAAATTCAGGTCCCTGCAGCCAAGGTCAAGGTCACACATAGAGGTCAAAGTTTAGATAAAAATATGAAGATGTGTATAGGGACGATTTAATCATCATTTATTGAGGGATTGTAACACAAATGGTCATTATCATGACTACGGCTGTGACACATGTACTTTAGGTCAATATATGCAAGGTCAAGGTCACTAAAGATGGTGAAATATCCAGATTTTGTCTGGAGCATATCTCCTACAAGTATGGAAGAATTTTTATAATACTTTATGGAAATGTTCACCACCATGATATGTATTGCTCCATGCATGATCCAGGTCTCCAGGTCAAAGGTCAAGGTCACACTTAGAGCTCATTGAAAAACGCTTGTCGGGAGCAAAACTTCTACATTCATAGGGGGATTTCAATATAACTTGGCACAAATGTTCACCATTGTGAGGCTGAGTGTCGCACGCAAAATTCAGATCCCTGCGACCAAAGTCAAGGTTACACATAGAGGTCA